TGAAACAGGGAAAATCATGATGGCATTCCTTCAGCTCCTGGTTCCAGTTCAAGAGCTTCACATCGCCAAACCATGAATCTGTACGTAAAGGGTCATCATTTCCAATCCTTCTCCCCAGCGAGATACGGGATTTGCTGCCTAAATAAGATTTTCACTGCTCAGGTTCACACTGGGATGTGTGAGGTGAAGGGACGGGGGGGAGCTCTTCCACACTCCATTGTTCCTTCACCGCAGAAGCGTTTGACAAGAACGTGAGGTTTGGATGGCAGCGGTCCAAAGACGACAAAACTCTGATTTGGCTGAAGTTTATGGGCAGCTCTCACGAGGACAGCTCCTCGCCAGGATCGTTCCCAAGTGAGCAGGCCATCTCAGCACGGACAGTGCAGGATTAGGCAGCTGACCTGAAGGTCTGACGTTTCCATGGAGCCTGAGAAATCCCTGAGATCCTACCTGCAGGCACCCCTGTTGCCAGTAAACCTCCACTCCACTGGAGTATACTTGCTCCTTCCCCACAGAAACAAGGAGACTCACCAAATCAGAAGAGTTCCAAAGGGAATATTCTGGTCCCAATGATATCTGACCCACTAGCCTTCCTGGTGTGACAGGGAACACTCTTCAGGCCAGTGTTCCCTCCACGTCCTAGCAGAGGCGGCTCGGCCAGCGCGGGCCTGGCAAGGCGCCCGGTACGGCAGGGCCCTCGCCGCCACCGCGGCTTGGCAGAGTTAGGATGTGGCTGTGGCAGGCAGAGACCACCCACAGGCCCACGGATGTGGTGCTGTCAGACGTTCCTCCCGCAAAGGAAACTTCTTCTTATGGGAAACAGTTAAAATGCATGAACTAGCGCACATTTCTTTGAATTATTGATCTGGGTTGCACTAAGGCCACGTCTCCCACCAGTTTCCTTTGGGCAGGTTGTTCTTGCTTTGGCAAACATGACATCTTGTGGCCCTGCAGCACTACTAAGATCTCGCACATTGGGCCAGTTTCCACCCGAAATGACTCCTAGCTTTGAGAGGCCCTGCAGTGCCAGCAGAATAAGGGGGGTAAGAAAGCAGAAAGTAACAGGAAAACTATTTCTGCTCTGTCCTAGGTGCTCTCTTTGACTTCTGGCAAGTGAGTCGTGCCATGCTGAAGTGAAGATTGCATAAAGGATTATCCGCAACAGGGGTGAGAAAGTAGGAGCTGCAACAGAAAGCAAAGCACCGAAGTTAACTGGCATTAATTAGCACGCTTCTCTTGCAGTGGTGACTTTCTCTCTCTGTCACTGCCTGTACTGACATTTAGACCCATTTAGACCCAACTCATATTGCCTCGGACCGTGCAAAGAGCAGCTAGCCATGCTGTTAACCCAGCACAAACGAACGCCGCGCTGCGCTGCCTCGTTGCAGCAGAACCTTGCCAGTTTGCACGAGCTGGCTGCTCCTGGTAACTGAGCACGCTCCTAGGAAGGTCCTCGCCACAGTGACCCCCAGGAAGACAAGCACCAGCCCATTAAACAGTAACAGTTCCTCCTTCTCCCCTGGTAAGAGAAGAAGGAAGAGTAGCTGAGGGGCTGGCCCAGCTCCCCCGGTGTCAGCTCCCGGCGCACTTCTGCATCGCAGCCGCCCTGCTGGGAGCCGCCTCAGACCACTCCTCTGCTGTGGTGTCTGCTACCTCAACAGCCCTGTCAAACCTAATGGGGAACATAACCAGAGATCCTATCTAGAGACTACCAGCACCCGTTCGTGCCTCCACTGGCTAAACCTCAATGGCTTTTTGCTCATATGGTTCCCATTTGCGCATCCGGCTCAAACGGCAACATGAAGCTAACTGGGAATTTCTGTTTCCATAACTGTGTCCAAACTCATTCGCCCACTTCCATCCACAGACTTTGTCTCCACGCCAGAATTTGCTATCACAGGTGCCTGTCCTGACACGGAGCCTTTTCCCAGAAGAGAAATTCAAGCCATTGAATAGAATTAAACCAGTGAGCTTTTAAAAAATAAAACCAACAAAACCTAACCCGTAGATCGTAACTGGTGCTTCAAAATTATTATGCTGCAGAAAAGCAGTCTGCATGACTGATGTGGAGCCAGCAAAGGTGGCACCCGTGCGTGGGTGCTCCCTATCTGTCTTGCAAAAACACACGGTGCCTGGAAGATGAAAAGTTAATATTTGCAACAGCTGAAACAGCAGAATACCAGTGTGTGAGAGCAAAATACTCCATGGTAGTTATTAAATTAGTAAAAATAAAATAAAAATCACCTTTATAAATATATCTAATTTAGATAGAGATCTACTTAAATTGAAAATACCAGCTTTTAAAATACCTGAGGCTTCAAAAACAAGAGAAAGGAGTAAATGGAACCGTGTGCAGTGCCACGGAAACATTTACTGGCTTGAAAAAGTGAGCGCAGTGGTGAAGACCTTCTTGGCCCGGCCCAGCACCCTGGCGCGTCTGAAGTGTTGTCAGATTTCTATTTCTGAATGTAAAGAAAATGTAACAAAATCATATTTTTTGCAAAGGTATCTCCTTTGTAGGTAGCAGTGGCGAAAATCTCACTGCCCCAGTGGAAACGGAATCAGCAATAAGTAGCACATCCCGTTTTGAACTAGAAATTGCTACAAGAGATTCTAAGACTGGTCTAATCGTGAAATCTCAAAATGATCTCCATACTATGGATTCAAAAGAAATGACAGCATGTCAGCTGCTATGCAGAGGAAACTTCCATTCCACCTACACAGCTGCTTTTAAGAGGATTTTTTTAAATTTCTCACAGCGCTAAAAGTGCCTTTCCCAGCTGAAGAGTACTCTCAGCTGAGATTGCACAACAGCTCAACTGAAATGTAAGCAATGAGTCAGTTGCCGTACTTCACCTCCTAAAGTGGAATGGAAGATCATTCTGGATGTAAGAACATTTGTTTGAATGGAACTTTATATTTGTTAGTTGATACAGAAACCAATTCTGATTTCTCTGACACATACTCCTTTTTTTTTTCCAAATGAAAGAGTGCAATGCCTTGAAATAACAGCACATCAGGGCTGCACATGAACCTCCACTAACTTTGAGGAGCACGAGGGATTTAGCTAACATGCCCCATCTCATCGAAAATCAGTGCCCCTTAGTGATGATGCTGTGCCTGCCTGCCTAGGCGATCTTGCCCTGCTGCAACGGCAGATGGATTTGCTCAAGCGACTACGGAAGTTCGTCGGAGCAGAAGGACTGCACCTTTGTTAGAAATACATTTCACCTCCAAAGTCACCATTCTGCCGCTTCTGAAATGATCCAATCTCTTCACGTGTAAGGGATTGTCCCACATTCATTGTTCCCAAAACAAATTACCTTGAGGAAATATTTTTATATATCTTAATTAGTTGACCTATATTATAGGAACCAGAACATAGCTGTTAATGGAGAGGCAAATTAATTAAATCACCTACAGGGAGGAATAACACAAATCAAGGACTGGGAGTCAAGCAAGAGCTGTTTCTCATCTCCGCTGCGCATCCACACTGAGATGATGCAGCTCTGTGCACACATCTGAGCCAGCCTTCGACAGCGCGGGTGCTGCACACTGGCCCGTACTGGGGGCCAAAATAACGTGCCAGGTGGCTGGGCAAATGCTTGCCGGGTATCCACATGTGTGAGCTACCCACCGGGCCCACCTTGGGATCCTGCTCTTTGCGGCTGCACCATCTCTGTTTGATGATAAAGATCTATTTAGCATTATGGTATCGGGGTAATCACCATAAACAGCACGGAGTAATCAATTAGCTAAAAGCAGGTGAATAATTTATAGATCACATTTGCTACTAATGGAACTGCTACGTGGTGTTAGTACTGGGCCGCATTTCGGCAGACTGTAGGCGGCTGCTGGCAGATCGCTGTCCGCACAAGCCACCCGGCACGCACACGCTTGTGAAACACCCGTGCGACCTGGCCCTCCCTACGGCTGAGACCTCCTCCTCACTCCTGGGCATTGCCTGCTTGAGATCACGAGTACTTACAGAGAGGCCACAGAATGAATTCAGTGACTCAAATGTCAGTATTCTTCCTTAGAAGTATTATCGAATCAAAAGCAAACCTTCTGATTTCTTAGGGCCAGGCAGACCTAGCACAGCTGGACCTCTCACTTACTACAGCGCCGTTCATTGCATAAAGAACTTGAAGTGGGGGCAGAGGCGAAAGAAGTAATTCTTCACAACACTTGCCTAGGAATGGATTTGATCTGCTAAACTGAAGTCATTATGGGCCCTCAAGTTTACCAGCCCACAAAGGAAGCTCACTGCTTTTTAAAATAAAAAAAGATATACATATACATCTAAAGATAAAATGAAGGTTATTAATGCACTCATGTTGAGATTTACCCTCTTACTCGTTTCTAGCTAGTAAGGACTAGCACATACAGTCACAGATTACATTCAAAAGACAAGACTTCTAAAATAAAGCACTCTAGATGTCACATGTCCTATCAGAGTGGGGAATTCACAGGGCTCCCGTGTCCTGGAAGCCATGGCCTTCCTGGATGCTTTTTTCTTAGAAGTTGGAAATAGAGCAGGTGAAAGATAGCTAAGTATGTAACACCTTCCGACTTTTGCAAAAACTATTTAACCGCTTTTTTCTATGCTCAACCTGACTTTTGAGACAGAAACTACTTTCAGTGTACATACAGTATATGTTTTCCATTCCTTTGCAGACACGATATAATGATATCCAAACACCACTTGACCTCGTTGAGCAAGAAATCTGATAAAGGCTGATAGAGGCTGATAAATAAAGGCAAGAAATGATAAAGGCTGACAGTGCTGTGGATTTTCCCACACAGAGTGGTAAAGCATGATGCTTGAAAAAGGGCTTTTTTAACAAAAGCAAAAGTTACAGGGGTAGAAACCTAAAACTTTCGACAGACAAACTAACAAAATAAAATCCAAAACTAGGTTAAAGGAAGCTTAATGGGAACTATCTATACTGAAAATTCATGCTGACTACCAGAGCTCAGGCTCTACATAAATGTGAAACATGCCGACAGACTCTCCAAAATTCTGTGTGATCTCAGGTGGGTATCCTCGCCGGGCTGGTGTGACAGAGAAGAGCTTAGGCACGTGCGACTCCGCTCCGTACAGACCCCTACACCACCCGATCTCCCCCAGAGCACCTCTGCTGGGTGGGGCGACCACATCCCTCACGCCCGTGGTACCCACACGTCCTCATCCTGGCAAGGACCTGTTGTACCCTGCAGAGCCATTTGGGAACTGGGACAGAGAAGCTGAACACGAAACTCGTGTTCACTTCATGCAAATGGCAACACAAACCCTATCCTGAAGGGCCCACAGCTGGAGGAAGAGGAGAGCTCCGTTGATTCTTGTAGCAGAGCTGCTCTTGACAGCGTTGTTCTGCGAGACTTTGGAAGGCCATTTAGGTAGAATGAGGAATTAGGTTTTTTATTAAAATTAATAATACCTCATTTTACAGACAGCCCTGAGTTTACGTTGGAGAGGGCAGACCAGAGAAGTGCACGCTGCACTTGGAAGGGTGGGGATGGATTTGATGAAGATGCCCAGTTCCTGTGTGGGTTTGTGTTTCGGTCTGAGATGCGACCCTAAGGAAACTCCATCCTGCAAAATCCGCTTCTCCCTATGACAGGACATAGCATTGTGCCAAACTTAGAATCTATGAGCTTTGGTAGATCTTTTGGATGCTTTTAAATGTCTTCAGGAATCATTATCCTGTGGGGCGTGGGGGAAATAAACCAGGTGGGAAAGAAAATCCTGATGAGCTAAAATGGAGTTCATGGGAGCAGCTGGAACACACATCCTGCTTTAATCTCTTCTTGGCACGTTTCCACCAGCGAGCTGTGAACTGCTAGGGCTGAGGAGCACATGCATCCTTTTCTGTGCGTGTGTCACCTCCTCCGCAGCGGTACTCCGGGGCCGAGGGGCAGGCGAGGATGACACCCCCTGCAGTACCACGCTCCACCAGCAGTGACTGGGGATCACAGCTCTTAGCAACACCTACACACATTTACTGAGCTGTACTTCAGACAACCCTCTCTACCATACCTCTGGAACGCAGCTTGCAGAATTTAATGATGAGCTTAAAGAGAGAGGGAGAGACGCTGTCTGCTGGAAGATACTCCAAACTCAGAAAGCACCTTTAGAGAACTGTGGGATAGATTCTAGCTGGAGAATGTGCTCAGAGGGCCACTCTACAGACAACTTTCACAATAGCAGATTGCAAGAAACCGGGAGGGTATCACCCAGTATTTGGGTCACAGCACTACACCCATTTCTCGCCTTTTTCCCTAAGCAGCTGCTGATGGCCAACGTCCGAGACAACGGGACGGGACGGGCAGATTTCTGGGCTCACCCACTGACTGCCATTCCTCCGCTTTTTCCCCCGGAAGAACAGGAAGGTTGGTTTACCCATCTCAGTGGCTGTTCAGGTCTTACACAAGCCTTGCCTATGTGGGAGACGTCTAGTTTGCCACCTCAGCGATGTGTTTAGAATTGGGGCTGGGTGCAATTGCAATGGCGACTGGAGGAGGGAAGAGCACGCTGTACCGGGCAGAGCCATTACAGAGCGTGGAGCTCCTGGTGTCCCCTACCCACGCAGCAGGTCTGGCCTGAGGGTGCCAGTGGGGGAGCCTGCACAGATGAACAGAACCTGTGCATTCTTACCAAGAATAGCATGCTCGCTGCCACGTTATTTAGCTCTGATTCAGGTCAGATGCCATAAAGGCAAGACTGTCCACACCAGTTTGTCCAACATGTCTATTAACCAGGCAACAGCACCTGAAGACAGGTTTGCAGTAGCTAGAAATGCAATAAAGCCTCAGTGCCTTCAAACTAGAGGCTACAGAGAACAATCAGCAACGGGGTACTGAATAGTACAGATACGCACGGGACCTTGGCAGGGTCTGCAGAGGAGTGATACTACATAGACAAGTGATACTACATAGAACAGAATTCCTGTTTAGGCTCATAAGAGGAAAGAAGGTTCCTGCTGGATGAAAAAAATGTAAGCAAATTCTCAGAAGTAAGTATAGCATCCTAAACACAAGCATGTCACAAATCTTCCAAACCCAGTCATTGTATTCCCGGTTAACAACCAGCTTGTTAAATGCAGGAAGCAATGCCGGCGGTAATTTACTGAACAGGGCAATTGATAAATCACTGCTCCGTTGCACCACAAGCTCCACAGGACCGAGTGACCTCCCATCTGCTAAGTCCCATCCGCCACTATCCTGCAAACCATGAGTTATCTAGCTCAGCCCAGCGTGGGTGCAAGGCACGGACATCGCGACCAGGCAACATGACATGCTCCTTGTGCTGCTGTAAGTGACACCGTGAAGTGCTCAGCGCTCCTCCGTGAGCTAACTGACATACAAGGGATGCATGTTTCTAACTTCAGCTTAAAACCAGATTTCATTGGAACTGGTGTAAACGTGCATGGGCAGGACAGGTATGCCACCCCGAAAGCATGACTGCTCCCAGTTTGTTTCTTAGCCTGGAGACTGTCACTGTCCTGCCCTTTAAAGAGAAAGCAGCACCACCTGAACTGAGGTGGTATAAAATCATAGCAGCACCTCTCCTTCTCCTTCCCCATCCATCAGCTTGGCAGTGACAGCAGGGCTGAATAACATCCTCTGTTCCTTAGCTTGTGCCTGTGCTGCCTGGGACTTCTAGGTGTCCTTCACACAAATACAGAACGGCCAAAGACCGTCAACCCTCTATGTCAGAGCAAAGCAAGGCGTTTATGGAGAGCTGATATAGCTGCCGCCAGGGGGGAAACAAACACAGGAGCCTTCAGGCCCACATGCGCTTCTTCTGACAAGATGCATCCGATCCTAGGCCAACACAAAGCAGTCTTTATCTGCATATGCTCTATAAACCCTGAGATGGACCAGGGCTGGGAGAGGGCAGGACTCTAGTAAAGCCCTGGATGGGCATAGCAAGTAGCCATCCAACAGATGATGCAGGCTGCTCCCCTTGACTACGTCCTTGCTGAGGTTTCCAACGCTTTTTCAAGCGGAGCACACACATTCCTGTAACACAAGGCAAGACAGAAGATCCTGGGATCCTAATCTCCCATGTGCCTAAAGCAACCCAACCACCCAGTACGTGCTCACGGCCAGCTGCATTCCAGGAGCCAGCCCAGAGCCAGCAGGCAGCAGCAGAACTGCACAGAAAACAAGTTGGGGAATTCCTGGAATTTCTGAAGAGTATTAAAATAACCTTATTATCCAATAGCAAGCAGATATGAGAGATAATAGCAGAGGTGGCTGCTTATCCCTCCTTGATACTTAAGTGCAATTTTTGTAAGAAAGCATGCGAATGTTGAGAGTGTTTATTTCAGCTTTTCTCTACCTCCCAGATTCCTTGGGAGCAAGGACAGAAGGACTTCAGGAAGCCTCCAGAATGCTCAGTAAGCCACTGTATTGTAACAATAAGGTTTTTTTTCTCCTGTTCATAATAATTTTCCCAGAACTATTTGGATCTACAGTAGGAATACATCTCCTCTTGCTGTTTTACACACACATCTATCAGCAGCAAGATCTCCCTACATGGCAGCATACAATTCACTTCAAAGATCTTCCCAGCCCTTTAGGCTGCAATTAGACTTGGAAGCACCGGAGCCAATCTGCCCAACGGGAAACTTCTCTGAAAACAAAGATTTGTAAAGGTCGAAGGAGATGATGGCAAACAAGAAATGGCTAGTGGCTTCTCGAAATTTCTCCTGCTGTTGCTCTTTCATTAAGTCTGTTGAAGGAAAATAGTTTTCTGTGCCTAACAAAAAGGCAAGAACACGATTTCTCTTCTAAGATGTAGGCTCCATGTTCTTCCCTTCTACCAGCTGGAAGTTTTTATGAGTCTAGAAATAAGACTGGAAAGACACGCTGTTGGGGTTCTACTGTAACACTTGTGTATGTCTCAACCACTCACCAAACCCACCTTACCTCAATTGTAATAGAAATCTGTATTATATTATATTAATTATACTATAGTGTGACATTTGTTACATCTGGCATTTACAGAGCGCTTTTGGGGTTGTTCAGTCTGAGAAAGAGAAGGCTCTAGGGAGACCTTACTAGGGCCTTTCAAAATATAAAGGGGGCTTATAAGAAAGAGACATTTACCAAGGCCAGTAGTGACAGGACAAGGGGCAACAGTTTTAAACTGGAAGAGGGTAGACTTAGATTGGACATAAAGAAGAAATTTTTTATGATGAGGGTGGTGAAACACTGGAACGAGTTGCCCAGAGAAGCTGTGGAGGCACCATCACTGGAAGTGTTCAAGGTCAGGTTGGATACTTTGAGCAACCACCTCTAGTGAAATGTCCCTGGCCCTGGCAGAGGGGGGTGGACTGGATGATCTTTGGGTCCGTTCCAACCCAAACCACTCTATGATTCTATGATTTAACTCTGCCTTCTGTAGAAGCTCTGCATCTTTGGCCAATAGCTAATAAAATCAGGGATCTTCGTTCCTCTCTCCTGCCAGATGCAGCTCTGATGCCTACAAGAAGCACTTGGACACCAAAGCTTTTCGGAGCACTCCCTGAGCTACCAGTATTTGTGACACCAGTCCACACCTCAACTTAGCAATTCCCAGACCTAACGTCAGGGCAACTTTGCTATTGCCGATTTAGAATAGGGCTCCAGCACAATGTTCTCATTCTGTAAATAGCTTCTAATTTTTTACCCAGGGCAGAAGTGCCGTCCTGTTCTACCCACTCACCCTGACGATTCAGTGATGCGTTTAGTTATTCTCACGTTCAGAGTGACGCAGACTGATTTATGAAGCTCCCCAGTCCCTGTTAGATCAGTAACACTGAGGGTAGGCCCGACCCAGATATTAAGATATGCTGAATTTAAAGGTCTCTTAAATTTAAATCATATCCAAGTCTGCAGCTGGAACCTGTCATTTAAGGGTACAAACACCTTCAGGCACAGACCCGCAGGCTGCACGCTCCAGGATGAGAGTTTGCCAAGTGGCTGCTAGCGTGCAGAAGCGATGCCAGATGCTCCACAGACTTCCTCATCATGTAAAGCAAACTTTA